ATAGATAGATAGATAGAGATTGGCAGATAGATAGATAGATAGATAGATAGATAGATAGATAGATAGATAGATAGATAGATAGATGAAATTAGGAGATAGATAGATAGATAGATAGATAGATAGATAGATAGATAGATAGATAGATAGATGTGAACCCGAGTCTGAATGCATACTATCTGAAGCATTTATGCTAGTATAAATAATATAAGTATTTGTTTTTTTTTACGGTTTATCAGCAATTTCCATGTTATTTAAAACCAGTATTATTTTTAGAGTTTAAGAATTTTTGTTTTATGATAACGACTTAGTGATACGAGTCTTACTAATTAACCCATAGCTGGGGGAGAAGAGCTGAAGTCATAGCTTTCCTAAGCAGAAAGATACGTGAACAAAAAGTGTAAAAATGATTTTAATTTTGCAGAAAAGTATGGTTTGCAACCGATACAAGTGAAGTGCTTAAACTTGTCTTCCATGAAGTTTGTTTGTAAATAAATAGTAATTTCTGGAATGTAACGCCGTTGTAAAAATATGTATATGTTTTAGCTGTGCATGTATATCACAAAGTATACACATAATTTTAAAAAATTATTTCACCCCAAACAAGGCAATAAAGCCACTAAGATGCTAAGTGTTACTGTTAGATAATATGAGCAAAATATAATATTAAGGAGAGAAGACAATAAAAGAATAAGGATTAAGAAGATAACGATAAAACATTTCATTTAAAGTTTTAAAGATCAAGGATAAAAGGGAAGCAAGTTACCGAAAGAGAATTCCATAAGCGAGTACTGTGATAGAAGAAAAACTTAGCATAGAACTTGCGGTTACCTCTAGCTATTTCAACAGTAAAATGATGAGATGTTACCGCCAATGTAGTGATGCACTTAAATACATAAAGTCTAGGTATCATAGAGGAGCGTTCGTCAGAACGATTAGCGAGAAATTATTTATAGAAAAGACAGAGGGAAGCTATATTAGGCGGTGACTTAAACATGTATTTGTTTAAATATATTTTATTTTGAAGCTTATGGCGTTAATTTATTTATTCTTTCTATTAATGCTCATAACTTTCGTCTTGTCACGAGTCTCGTTACTAATTAGGGGGTTGTAAAGGCACCACATTCACAGTTTCCATAGCAACGCTTATATATGTAAGCAAGGGGCACTCCATCATTCTTAAGTTTGGACATGAAATGCAATGTTTTCATCCTTCTAGACTTGTTACGCTTTCAAAGAAACATAGCCCAATTAGCCCTACTTTTTAATCTATAAATAAGGGAAAATAAATACTTTCGCAAAACAATTTGTGCGAATATTTCCTGTATGGGAAACTTTGTAGCAACTTATCCTGTTGGACAAATCTTGGCGCAAGATATAATGTGATCCTCATCTCGTATACTAAATTAAATTTATTGTCACAATTACAGTTCGAGATGTCGTAATCTCCAGATTGCCAAAATAATGCCCAAATTACCGTTTATCACACCAACTTTGTCAAAAGGAAAATATAAATTTTATAGCTGTGCGTATATATCATAGAGTATAGACATGTCTTCGTTTGTTTAAACTTAGTTTATTTTGTAGGTTCTTCATTTAAATGTTTTATTTAAATTAAACGAGGCAAGCAAAATTGAAAAGATTTGTTTTTTTTTCTTCAATACTTTTTCAAAAACGAAAAGAAAAACACACACACACACAAAAGGAAACGAAGCCACTTTCGTTTTTTTTTTTCATTTCCGGTTGCTCTGAGAGAAACCTGTGTCAGGTTTGATTTATTTTTTTAAATATTTTTAAAAATTTTTAAATTTAAATTTTCTTTATTCTTATTTTTTTATTTATTTATTATTGTTTGCTTCTGATATGATTTTTGGTAATTCTCCTAATTTTTACGGATTTTGTGTCTGTGGTTCAGCATGGGATTCAACTCATGAACATCTACCCTGATTACGATGTGGGGTCCAACACAACCCTTGCAATCGTCAAACTTCAACTCTTTCGGTCGAGTTTCTTTCTTTCCTTCTCCGGAATCAAACCTTTTTTTTTTTTTTCACTTTCCTCTCCAAATTTTGATCCCGCTGTTTCCTAACAAATTGAACAGAAGAAATTCAGAACATTTTTCTCTTCGCTTTGGGATGGAGAAATCACGAAAACAAAATAAAAGGTGGAAAGATCCTGCATTTAGATAGATTAGGTTTACATGTCCCCTGAATTTTTATTTTATTTTATAATATTTTTTTTTAAATATTCCCTCTTTTTCTCTGTTCCTTTCTAAAAATTTTCTCCAAGATGAATGTTCAATATCCATTACGTCATTTAAAGTGGGGGAATTAATTTCTGCATTTTTATGATCCCTACCGTTGTCATGAATGCCAGGGGAGGGCCCGCCTTTCACCTTATAACTTGTCATGCACGCCAAAGGAGGACCCCGCCCATTTCGTAGTGTTTGTCATGCTCGCGACGACCCAGGCGTGATTAGATAACTTGGAAACCTTCACACTTCATGCTAACCCGAGGCTGCTTTTGTTAATATATTCATTTAACATATGCGGGACGTTGATTATTTATATATTTATTATTTTAAAAAAAAATTATTTAGAGGAGCTTTTTTATCGACCCGATTGAGGACGAGCACGAAGTCGATTCGAAAATGGTTTTCTTCTTTTCTTTGAGTAGTGAGGTTTATTTTTATTTTTATTTGTTTTGTATCTAAAATTTGGATTTCCTACCCTTTTCACCAAACGCATCCCGGTGCATCGTTCTACCTTTTCTAAAAGTAGCAAATTAAGACAAACCTAAAATCCAGCGGCCCTGCGAAGAAGGGAACAAAATATGGAAACTTTGATGATGTATCACCTGTAAACCGCGAAAAAGAGTTTATTTGACAAGACTTTAAAATATAGAACTTTTGATGTTGCGAAATCATGTCTCTTATTTTCTTCTCTTTTTTTTTGCTATTTTCTCTTTCTTCTTTTTTCTTTTCACACTTCCTTCTTTTATTCCTCTCCTTCCCTAAAATTTTAATCACTTCCTTCCAACGTACGCCATGCTGACTTATAAAGCAGTACATTGACAACGCAAATTAATTAACATCATCTTTCCTGATTTTCATTCGATTTTTTTTTTTTTTAAATTGAAAATTAAAATAAACACAAAAACAAATGATGACAAAAAGCTTATGGAAATAACCAAAGGCTATATTTAATGACAAAACTCTTTGAATAAAAACGAGGGTGACTTTTCCAGACACGTCCAGTATTCAACTTCGTGCAAAAAAGTAAATCAAAGGGGTTGGAAGAAGCTGAAATTTTTCTTAAGTGAAAAGAAAATAAATGAACATAAAATGCCTTCAAGTTATACAGCCTTTAGTTAGAATGTACTCAACAGAAAAATATTTACCCTATTAAGACCTAGGGTAAGATTTATTAATAGGCATATATTATTAACCCGCCCAAGTCCTTAAGAGGGAAACAAGCAGTTTTGAGTAACGAACAAGATATTCTATAAATACAAAGAATTTTATTAAGTAAATAATATCTATAGAAATATAAATTTAATAGCCTTATTTTTGCATTAATTTAAACCGAATATTGAAACTGGGTGGACATTCTCAAAACAAATTTCATTTGCTGAATTTTAATTTTTATTTATAAATGTCAAAGACACTTTCGTAATTTTCTTTCATCATTTTATACATACACACACACACACACACACACACACACACACACACACACACACACACACATATATATATATATATATATATGTGTATGTATGTATATATTAAGATTAACACTGCAATAAAATCAAAATACGCAACAAAGATTTTCAAGAAATAACATTCTTCAGGCGGATATAAAAAAAGTCAGTTTATTTTATATTTTAAACGGTTAGTTTTTACCTCAGTTTATTTTCTATTCCAGCTTGTAGATTATTTAAATATTAGATTTTATTCATACTATATATATATATATATATATATATATATATATATATATATATATATATATATATATATATATATATTCACTGTTTTGCATCATTCATACAATGAATATTCCTGTGTTCGCGATGACCAAACAGCCTCCTTTAAATTTAAAGAATGATTAAAGCTTTGCATATATAAACTAGCAAATGATGACAAAATATTAACTGATCTGCTCTTTGTATTAATATATATATATATATATATATATATATATATATATATATATGTGTGTGTGTGTGTGTGTCTGTATATAATCAGGAGGTCAATTAAAATAAATATATATATATATATATATATATATATATATAAATATGTATATGTATATATATATATATAAGTATGTATGTATAGTGAAAGACAGAAAAGTTATGATAGTGAGAGATTGATAGATATAGACAGTGTGATCAAAGAATTCAACATTGATGTTGATTGTCACTTACACGCCACAATGCCACCTTCTCACAGAATGGCACTAGCGATTACGCTGGTCTTATCTGTAGGTGACTGTGGAATTAAAATAATTGAATGAAAAAGAAAACCGGCCATTTCCAGTTCTTTGGTTCAGTGTTAATCCTTAGATTCATTCGCGTTCATGTCGTCTGTATTGTTTGAGTGTGTATGCATATAGGTTCGGTGTCAATGATCATGACAAGTAGATTGGGTTTTTTTATTCATGTACACGGATACCAATTTTTTTGTAGTAAATTTTGTATATCATATCTACTTCCTCTGAAAATAGTATAATTTGTTTAACTTCTATTTGTGATTTTCACGTATGTAATTATTATAATGAATGCATATTTTATATATATATATATATATATATATATATATATATATATATATATATATTCAACCGTGAATACATTCATATACATTTCCCAGAGGTGTATGTGTCACTAATTTGTAGTGTTAATAAGATTATAAGGAGGTTTGCATGAGCGTTACATAATATTTATCTATGTTAAATCAGCATAAATGTAACTATATAAAAGGCTTACATATAGATCACGTTGAAACTCCTTATCCCGTACGATCACCGAAGTTAAGCAATGACGAGCCTGGTTAGTACCTAGATAGGTGAGCACCTGGAAATACCAGGCGCTGTCAGATCGGATTTGCGCATGTCGAAATGGATAATGGCTTGGAATATCTGAGTACCAATCCCAGTAGTGTTCGCTATATTAACTTACGCGCGAAGGAAAAAACGAAGAGGTATGAAGCCACTTCTTCTTCAGCTATGACGCAAGACATGTATCACTAAAATATTATCATATTCAAAAATAAAATTTCATACAAAATACTTGGAGTTCAGCATTACATAATACGCACGAGCTTGGTGACCATTACACAACACATAGTCAGTTTAGTGAAGTTTTAGATATTAAACAAGTAGTGGTATTCCCAATTCTGCCATTGCACGATTTGGGGTCATTTTTTTACACCATTTTATATATATATATATATATATATATATATATATATATATATATATATATATATATATATATATATATATATACTCATTTGATTGAATACATCAGACAGGATGCTTTTATTTGCTTTTTATACTATTTCTATTATTTTTTTTCTTTTCAGATAATAAATTATATGAAAAATGTTGGATTTCCACATGAGGCATTTTTCTGTCTAAAGTAGTTAATAGCAATGACGAAAATAGCAACATAAACAATAATATTAATATTTTTTTATAAAAATCAAATGAACGAAAATTATAAAAAAGACGAAAGTAGAATTAAGAACATTATAAACGCCAGTTGACAATAGAAAAATATTACATTAATTATTTATTAGAAACAATTTAAAACATCTGACCTTATAGTTCAAAATAATAATTCTTATCTTAGAAAAAAATTAAATAGGGCAAATATTATTGACGAAGTTAAATGCCCATTAAGGAATTGTATACCTGATCAATCAAAATTCGTAAATAATTATATCGGAAGCCACTACAATATGTTTGACACGCAGACTCACTGTACACCTCGATTTGATCTCATTTAAATGGAGACCTACCGAACACTATCCGTAACATACTTGTTGACATCATTAATATAATAGTTTCATCTACATGCAAAAAAAGGGCTAAAAATAATGAAAGCCTTATTAATAAAAGAAAAAAAAAACACTTAATAATATTAATTATGAACATGGACACGATATCTTGACCGTGTTTTAAAGAATAAAAAGATTTTATAAAACATACATGCAACAAGCTATTTCTTGTTTAACAGTTAAAATATTTAATCCTTGAAAATGGCTATATGTATAGCCGAAAGCGCTCAGATCATTCAGACAGTTTTTATATAAATTATCATCTGAAAAAAAAAAAAATTAGATCGCGTGAGTAATTGTATAAAAAACTAAATAAAACACATTGGCTATCGTATTCAATGAAATGTGCATGAATGAAGGATTACTGTCTAAAACACACACACACACACACACACACACACACACACACACACACACACACATATATATATATATATATATATATATATATATATATATATATATGTAAATAAAAAAAACTAGATATTAGCAACTGTATATGCGCGCCATATCGAGAATACACGGTAAGCAAATAAATATTTACCAAATTTCCTTTAAGGTGTAAACATAACTGTGCTCGATGTGGTTAGACACAACTAAGAAATATGTATTAATAAATATACATATATCTACAGTATCTGTCTATATTTCTGAGGTGAGGTATTATGTGCATCTTTGTCGCCATATTTATTACAACGATTCGGTCGTTGAATGCTCCGGGCTTTTCAGGTGGTTGGAAAGTCAAACTGAATTATTTCGCTCACTGGGGTAGACTGTTCTAGTTCGACTGTGCCATGCCCTCAAAGACACATGGCACAGTGGATAAAGGCGTTAGTTAGATCCAGTGACAGGACCCAAACAGTATGAGTTCAATACCCGTTTAAGGTAGTGGAGAACTTTCAGAGGGGAATTAACAGGAGATAACTGATAACTGACATCTATTATACATGGCACGTGGAACTAGAACAGTCTACCCCAGTGAGCGAAATAAAGGATTCATTTCGATATTCCAACCACCTGAAGAAGGCCGAAGCGTACAACGGCCGAAACGTTGTAATAAATATGGCGACAAAGATGAGGACAACAGTCCGAATAATGTAAATAAGGTACATATATCTACGTTTTGCATGCGACTTATATTTCATCTCCTCAGACACGAGAAATAACTGTTGATTTAATAATAATATACTGCATCTCATGGGAGGAACGCTAAATTACAAGCAGATTAACAGCTCAGATTTAAACTAAGTCAAATAAAATACTGGGGTTTAGATACAAAAAATACTGTGTATATAGAGGGCTAAAAAGAAACAAATTTTTAATTTTAAAAAATAAAAATAATTTAAAGTTTAAAAGAGGAACGCTTCTTGACGCGTTAAGTGATATTATACATTGAAAAGGATAAAGAGGAAAACTAATCAAAATATAACCTAAAATATGAGAGCGAAGATTGCATATATATATATATATATATATATATATATATATATATATATATATATATATATATATATATATATGTGCTTTATTCTATATCTGCTAATGAATTTGTCTCTTTGATATTAATTATTTCGTGTATCACTGTCGCTTTTTTATTCTTTCTTTCTTCCAGTGTTTATATATATATATAACATGTGTTCTGGCCGCCTACTGATTGCAGTGGCGTCAAACTCTAGTAGCGTGAAACTCGAGTAGCACTCCGAACACTTTCTGAGTCGTGTTGCTTGGAAGTTTATTCGCTCTGTCTTGTTAATACTGGCAAAGAGAACGGTTTAAATCGGTGTCTGTTTTTTGACCTTTTCTTACTAGAGTTTAAACATCGTTAGATTCACCTCAAGTATTTCGCAAAACCATATAATGTCTCAGTTGATGAGTCGATATAAGCAAGTTCCATCTAACGAGAGTTTCTTGCCAAGAGAGACTCATGTTCGAATCTTGCCGGGGTCCTGATACTTTTTTAACAACATTTCTCTAATATACAGGACGGTTACTATTTAATAAGTAAACGGAGCGTGAACTCAAATATAGGTATCTACTAAAAATAACGTTTAAGTAATAATAATAATAATAATAATAATAATAATGCAATAAATAGAATGGAAAAAAAAAACTATTGCTGACCACAGACTTCATTTAGTAATGTAATTTTCAGGCTGAATCCTGAAGTACAATTTATCTATCTATCTATCTATCTATCTATCTATCTATCTATCTATCCTCTCTTCTACTTGTTTGAAGTGGGAATCACTGTCCTACATAGGGTAAACAAAAACATGCTTAGCTCCCACGATCCTTCCCACAAAGAGAAATCACTAGACATCAATGAGTGACCCCGCCCTTCATATTGCAGTACAAAAGATGCTGCCTGGAGTGATGCCTCCCCACATTTTGAGTATGCAATGAAAACGATATGAGTGGTATTTTGAACATAATACAATTACATACGCACAAACCATTCATACCCTTCCCTAATAAGAGTTTAGTTTGCATAAAATATATTTTCTCTTAAGCCTTTATTTAGTATTTATCTCTGAACTTGTATTGAATAATCAGCTCCTCTGGCGAAACCCAATAATATTAAATTCGTATCCAAACCAAATCTTCTATATGAAGAGGAATATATTTGTTACATGCTGTGACCCTGTTGGATATAGACGATCATAGCTCTCCAGATTCCTTATATTACTTGTTTATGTTACCTTTGAATTGCGAAGAAATCTTAAGAAAAATAGCCTTCTCAAAAAATCTTAAGAAAAATAGCCTTCTCAAAAGTTCTCCTTTTCCAAGACAGGATGCCATACACAACTAGATATCATACGTTATTTTTCTAAGGGTAAATATATTGGAACTTGAACTCGGGTAGCCGATTACATTTGCCTCACTGATAAAGGATAGACAAGCGTACGGAAAGTATATATAGATAGGAATAAACTGAGATAGATAGATAGATAGATAGATAGATAGATAGATAGATAGATAGATAGATTCATGTTTAAATCTTTGCATATATGCCTACATAGAGTTTCGTTCATAACAGTCAGTAGATTAATGGAGAATCGAGCATTTATTCGACGCTATAAATATTTTAAATATCTTCATTGTGAATGCAAACGGTCGATCGTTAATATTATCCGTTCCATCCCATAAATTTCAAACAACAAACTTACACAGACACATTCATACATAAATACATAAATACACACACACACACACATATATATATATATATATATATATATATATATATATATATATATATATATATATATATATATATATAAATTGGACAAATTGGAAAATAGTTTACTTAGGAGGCGTTTCGTCCTTCAGGACTTCATAGGACTAAATTGTTATTTTGGTAGATCTACACATGACATGACAGAGGGGTGCTGGGTATTTTAGATTTTTTTTTAATCAGCCGAATTTACTTCAAGCCTTTTCTTTGTTTCCATCACTAAAGTCTCTAAATGTATTCGGCTGATAAAAAAAATCCTAAACATAATAAATTTTGTCTGCTTAGGTCCATGAAGGACGAAACCCATCACAAGTATATTTTTTTTTACTCTTGTCAAACAATTTCCCCAATACTGTTCTTGATACATAATAATATATAACATCATCTTATATATATATATATATATATATATATATATATATATATATATATATATATATATATATATATATATATATATATAGGGTGTTGAAATAACTTGGACCGATTTTAATATAAATTAATTTTAAGCGGCTAATGATTTTTTTTTCTTTCAGATTTGGCGGACATTTCGGCGATATTATTTTTCACACATAATTGTCATAACTTAAATAACATGACCCAATGGAGAAATAAAAAAATTTTCACAAATAACACTGATTTATTTACTGCTGACTTTGATCCGTCTTAAGAAAATACCCTTATATATAATCCGCCTTAATGAAACACCCTTATATATAATCTGTTTTAATGAATCGCTCTTTCTGTCTGTCTATCTGTCTATATGTCTCTCTCTCTCTCTCTCTCTATATATATATATATATATATATATGCGTGTGTGTGTGTGTGTGTGTGTGTTTCTGTGTCTGTGTATGTGTATGAGAGAGAGAGAGAGAGAATAACTATTCTATACAACAGGCAGGTTAGATATTGCTGAGTGGTTTGGACGTCATGCTTGACATCTATATGAAACTTTCGATCTGACGAAGTTATTTAAGAACTTGACTCAAGTTTTTAGGTTAATGTTTTATGCAATGTTAATAATTTAAGGATATTTCAGAAAACGAGACGTGTTTTTTACGCTAATGTTTTACGCTAGGTTAATAATTTGAAAATGATTCATTTAATATTCATTTATGTTCTACACGAAAGATATAATTTCATTGATTTTACTAGGAAAAAAAAACAAAGGGTATTTTACTGAGTGTTGGTTGTTGTACAAATAGAAGACATTTTATTAAAATAAAATAAGTAAAGGTAATTCTTAATTTCTGAAACATTGTCATCGGCAGTGAAACATTAATAATTAAAATTAGATTTTAATGAAGACGATATAGATATTATCAAGTAACATCAGAAAGATACAGTCGAAATTTCTAGGTCACCTAATGAGGAAGAACGGCTCGGAAAATCTGTTATTCAGAGGGCGGCAAGAGGGACAGAGGAAAATAAGACAAAAGATAGTTGACAAGCTTGAGAGAATGGATGGCGGGACAGAGTTTAGAAATAACGAATATACGAGGATTTATTTAAAACTGCAAGGGATAGGAAATAGTGAAGGGCCATGATCGTCTACGTTCTGAGGTGACACGGCAAAAAAGAAGGATAATTTCTATCAGCATGTTTTTGTATTTAATATGTAGTTTTGATTTGAAAAAAGAGAATATCAGGCAGTCTCCTCAAAGACGAATTGATTTGAAGCAGTTGAAATGTGGTATATCAACGAAAATTGCCACATCCTTTTGAGTGAGAAGGACATTTTGCAAGGAAACGTAACAAGTCAACATATTATTATAATTAGTAAGAGACAAGAGGTGTGTGATAGATAATGCGAACATTTTGAAGGCAACTACAGCAAAGAAAAGCATAGAGTATCAAAACTGAAGCGGTTTTATGGATGTATTCTGTTACGGGACCTTACCCGTAATAACATCATGGACTATTCTATACATAATAAATACTGCGCCTCAATAGGAAGCGAGAGTTCAGCCTGAAGTCGGGCGACCGGCTGACAGGATGATCGGTTGAACTCTCTGCCTTCGGGCGGGGAGGGCCTCGAACGAGGCTACGCCAAAGGGCGGAGTCACTTTCGGATAGGTAAACCGACCCTGAACCCGTTTATACAAGTACAAAGGGCAACGAGACTAAGCCAAAGGGCGGAGTCACTTTCGGATAGGTAAACCGAACCTGAACCCGTTTATACAGGTACAAAGGGCATAATTTTTTGCTGAGCCCACGGGCTCAGAGATCCCACGGGCTCGGACATCCCACGTTAAACCAGTCTTGTGCCACATGATGCCCTCGTTGGGGCGGTGACTAAATACCGTTCCGTCTGAAATCTGAATTCAGTCTGAAGTTGGACGACCGGCTGACCGGCTGATCGGCTGAACTCTATGCCTTCGGGCGGGGAGGAACCCGAACGAGGCTACGTCGAAGGGCGGAGTCTCTTTCGGGGAGGTAAACCGATTATGAACCCGTTTATACGGGTTCAAAGGGCATATTTTTGGCCGAGCCCACGGGCTCGAAGATCCCACGGGCTCGAAGATCCTACGTTAAACCGGCCTTGTGCCACATGATGCCCTCGTGGGAGGTGACTAAATACTGTTCCGTCTGAAGTCTGAGTTCAGTCCGTCAGGAATCAGTCAGTCGAGTCAGAGGCAGTCCTAAACAGAGTCGCGTTCAGACAATTACTACTAAACCTGATTGTTCATACTAACACTTTTCTACATCTCTGTATATATTCCTGTTTGTAATATATCTGTGTTATTCCATATCTGCCTTCGAGTTCTTCTTTATTGGTTCTACCTTGGACTATCACCGTGGTACAAGGAACTGGACCATAACATATCCCAAAACAGGGTCAAAGATGTATCTACATATAAAATGCTGTATCTATATATATAAAATTACGTCCGTCTCACCCTCTAAAATAGCCATTCACTGACCGATCGAAATCAGATTTTGGGGGTGAGGTACAAACAGGTAATGGGGTACAAAGTACAGTTGATTTTACGAAGCATAAAATTTGTAAATGTCGACAATGTTAGCGATAACTTCAACAATATTAAAAACTGTTAGGATTTCTAACGCAAAAGAATTCTACTATAAAATATTACTTAAAGTGGCGATTTGTGGATAACCATGGTCGACTCGTCCTAAAAGGTACCAAAATTATTTGAATCTGTCCGCGTGTAAATCCAGACATTTAAAATTCCTTACCATATAATTTTTTTATTTATACGCTATCATCTCGTGTTATTTATTTAAAAATATAATGGTAGATTCACTAATACATATCCATTTAATTTTAATGGTTTACGCTGTCTTCTTTGAGGATGGCTTATTTCATACACTACAGCTTTTGAAAAAGACGTAGTAAGAAGTCTCGTTCTATTCTATCGATATTTCCATATTCAGATCGCTGCATTTTTATAGTTTCATCAGTTCAGACTTTACTACTACAGTACATTATGCTAATTTCTAGGTTTCGAATCCATCTAATTCACACCGTCTTCCGATTATCACATGGATGTTATACTCAGATCTTTCACAAGAACTGGCATTTTACAGAAGACAGTTTTTCAGTGATCTCTTAATGTTAAGTGTTAGCCTTTATTAGAATATGTACCGTCATAATCTCCCTTTCCTGTAAATTTCTCTTGACTTCATCTGAGACACGTCATTCATCGTTTCAATTTCATCTCTATTTTTCGACATTGATTTTGCTATCTAATCTTGTATTGGGTAATAGTTTTTTTTTATTCTAATCTTGTATTGGGTAATATTTTTTATTCTAATCTTTTATTTGGTTATATTATTTTATTCTAATGAAAAGAAGTGGGTAATATTTTTATTTTAATCTTTTATTAGGTAATATTTTTATTCTAATATTTTCTTGGGTAATTTTTTTATTCTAATCTCGTATTGGTTAATATTGTTTATTCTAATCTTTTATTGGGTAATATTTTCATTTGAATCTTCTATTGGGTAATATTTTTTTTAAATTATCTAGCGAATGATGGTTAGATACCACTGTTTTGTACACGATTATTTCTAGCAATATGATTTCAAAAATAACCTAGTGGGCTTCCGGCCACATCACGTTGAAGCATCGCTTCCCTTACGATCACCGAAATTAAGCAACGTTGGGCCTGGTCAGTACATAGATGAGTGATCGCCTGAAAATACCATATATTAAGCTTAGATGTGAGGTTAGAGTAATGGATAATGGTCCAGAATTTCTAATCGGAGAGCTAAGTTCCAATTCCAGTTGAGTCCGTTACATACACTTGCTGTTGGGTTCGTTATATTCACTTACGCACAAATATCCTTGGAAAAGACAGGGCTACACCTTTTGCCCTTTCGCTATGGGTTAATTGGTAAAACTTTTAACCTTAATTATCTCAAAAGAAAAAAAAGGAATAAAATATTTACAATCTATCCGGTTATATTAGGCTTATTATATAGCTAGATTTCGCCGGGATTTTAGCAATAAAATCGAAAAATATAATAAATATATTTCAAATGATAAGTGTAATACAGTTATTCTGCGTTCGGTTTAATTAATCTGACAGCACTATTGTTGATTTTGCTATCATGTTTGTGCTATCATCATCAGCAGCAGCAGTAACCGACGCCTTCTCCTTATCATCATCTTAATCATAACCATCCTCATTGTCATTTTCGTTGACTGCGTTGGTGTTGATACCCCTGTAATTAGAGGTATCGATTTTCTATAGAGTATCCAGAAATCGGTATTTTAAATTTAGCCAAATCAGCCAGCGTTTCTGTGATTGTTTATCAATGGTAAGGGGGACTGAGTTCATTATCTTGGCAATTAATTAAGAGAAATGATTAAACGCGAAATAAGTGATGCATGGAGCAGATGAAGCAGAGTGGCATCCGAGGGTGGAAAGAAATAAGGGTTGGAAATAAGAGAGAAAAGATTGGAAACTAAATATATGGCACTATGTATACTGACAGATCGAACATAGATAGATATGAAAAGACTGACAACGTACGATATGACAGCTCTAGTTATCTATTGAGCATTTATTGGCAAAAATCCTGTTCACCTGAAAAAAAAAAAAATTAAAATTCTGAAAATTTTCCCGACGTATCTCAGTTGTATTATTATTATTATTATTACTATCATCATCATATTCGATTTCTGCTATGGACACTACCTACCAAGTCTGCGGAAAGACCTAAGGCAGGTCGTGGTGTGTTGTTATCATTTCATGTTTTTTTTTTTTTTTTTTTTTATTATTATTATTATTATTATTATTATTATTTCCTTTGATATCTGGCGTTTTAACCTTTCTTTCCGGGTCCCGCCCAGGGACTTAAAGTTAGAAATGGTATCGTGACATTTTTCACTACAAAAATATATATATAAATGAATAAAAAATTACATAGATAAAGCCATTCGTAAAGTGTGGGCTTTACTTGTGAGAACAATTTTTTATATCTCTTTGAGGCATGGACTTCCAGGAATCCCTTCAATTAGTCTACTGGAATCTTTTCCAACCAATCCTAGGGCTCCAACGACAACAGGCATTGTTGATGTTCCCATGTGCCACATTTTTTAGATTTCTATTTCAAGGTCCTTGTATTTTGACAGCTTTTTGAATATCTTCAAAGAGTATTATTATTATTATTATTATTATTATTATATAGATACTAGAATAGGTATGTCCATATTTCTGAGATGAGGTATTATGTACATTATTTACATTATTCGGACTATTGTCTTCATCTAACTAACATCCATCAAACATGTCACGTAGAACTAGAACAGTTTAAACCCAGTGAGGGAAATAATGGGTTCAGTTCGACATTCCAACCACCTGAAGAAGGCCGGAGGGAACAACGGCCGAAACGTTGTGATAAATATGGCGGCAAAGATGAGGACAATAGTCCAAATAATGTAAATAATGTAGGATAGGTATATTTTTGTATACAAACAGAAATATAGAAAGAAGTACGCCGTATATTTTTGAAACTATATTATTATTAGATACTCGCTGGTTATAACGCGAGTAGTAAAATTTCACACACACATATTATTAGCAGTATGTGTATAATCATAATTAATTCATCGATTCTAGAAGGATACTCAACAGAATGCAAACATAACTGGACAGCCGTTCCGTCCTATTTTGGGACTCATAACCAGTGCACATCCAATACCGAGAATCGAACACGGATCGTTACGATAAAACGCAACCGTCAACCACATAGACCAACGGGTCTCGGTGACGGAGAATTAACATACAAGACGCGATATAGCACCGGCTCTTCACAAATCCCGTCGTGTGACTCTTTCAAGTCTACTTAGACCAACGGACTGTGCCCCCCTGAGTCACGTCTTCTATCTCCAAGCCGCTCTATCCGGAGCATTAGAAGCCGATTCAAATAGTGATATGTATATATATATAATATATTCGACCATCAGTTTGCCTGATGATCACAAAAGCATGAAACCAAGAATTACAAACTCGTATCCATACAAGTGAATTTGTTAGCTCTATCACAAATATTGACCACTTTCCACTAAGTACATATATATATATATATATATATATATATATATATATATATATATATATATATATATATATATATATGATAAATTGATAAATATAGGTAAATGCACGAGCGAGCGAGCGTATACGAAATTTTGGATAAACTGTCCGAATTTCATGCTATGTTACTGTTTTCTTTGAATACTTTGACAGTCCTTTTCAAGAAGCAATATGGTGTCTCTGTGTTAGACAGAATAATTTTGTCTAGACAAATTGACAGAAAATGTCGGCCATGTTTAATTAAAGTTGTTTATATATATATATATATATATATATATATATATATATATATATATATAAATATATACAGGGAGGGAGGAGATATAGAGAGAGTTTTATGATGTTAGACGTTCACACGTTCTAACATTTGTTTGGTCAACGAATACTCGTTATCACTTCCGAAATCCTCGTTGTAGACGAGACTTTGTAAGCGCAGGTACTGGTAGTAGTAACGCCATCAAATAATACACGCACTAGTAATACTTGTTCGAATACAAACCGCCGAATAGTAATCCGAAGTGTGACCAGTATAAAGTAATAGTATAGAGGATAGTACAGAGAATCGGAGTCACTTAGATGTCACGCTAATTCCTATTTAAGTGTTTCCTTTACGATCACGTAATATACTTAATTAATAATGAAATCGTCCGTGTTTGCTCACTGAAGACCTGTGTTCAAACTACGGTGTCGGCAATGACACTTTATTTCTGTACAACATTGTGTGTGTTTGTGTGTGACAAAGAGAGAGAGAGAGAGAGAGAGAGAGAGAGAGAGAGAGAGAGAAAGATTCATTAGGTACAGAAAAGAAAATGTATATGGAAAAATATCCTCAAATTTATAAAAGGAAGATGAGGCCTAAAATGTAAAAATATTTTCATATTTGGGCGTGAGTGTTCAGTCCTCACTTTCCAATATTCATAGATTCCAAAAAGCGTCTTTGAGTCCTTCTGGGTGACTTCTACCCTCCATCCATATATATATATATATATATATATATATATATATATATATATATATATGTGTGTGTGTGTGTGTGTGTGTGTGTGTGTGTGTGTGTGTGTGTGTATATCACATGCGGGATGTGGCAGACTAGCTCTCACTGCTCCATTCGTATTTCCAATGCTGGGACATTCCTTGATCCCGCTAGACCCGACGTGCCACTCACATTGTACCAGACCATCTATATCCCCTCCGTATTCAGTTGGTGAGAAGTAAGTTCCACTCAAACAGCTTCTTCTCGTGAACTTCTGCTCAGTGCTACCCGCTCCTAAGAGGATGGTTCTCCATTCACTACAATCTTAACCTGTTCAAGTCAAGGTTTAACCGCTATTTTCCTCTCCTGACCCTATAAATTAACTCTTAATACTGGGTAACTGCATAATTATCAGGCGTTTTTGTAGGCGTGCTATTTGTAAATAAACACTGCTGTTTTGTTTACTTTTTTTAAACAAATATTATTTTATTTTCTGGTTGTTAAAATGCGTGTCGGTAATGATAGGCTCCGGGATAATCATTTAACAATGTTATTGTTGAATTGTTATGTTTCTTTTCTCATAATAGATATTATTTTCAAAAACGCCTGTTAATTATGCACCAACTCAATATAACCGTATACTTCGGGTAGCTCTCGGGTCTTGTACAGGGTGAACCTTACTGTAAATAAGAACGAAAAATTATATTAAAAATCTAAACAAAAGTAACTCGTCATTCTTATTTCTAATTTTATTAAAGTCGTAATGTTGCCCAAAGACATAAGCACATAAAAGAATTACGAAACCGAGAACATAACATAGACAGAGGCGTAGAGTTTTTAAGAATGTGTTCATTGGGTAATATATATCGATATCTATTTATTTATAAGCTGGCCTTTTGTATGTCTTAAACATCTGTTTTTTTTTTTTGTTTTTTTTGTTTTTTTTTTTTTAATTAATGACTGGTCAGTATTTTTGATAAAATGCCTGACATTCGTGCAGACATTCACCTGTTATTACCTGTTATCGTGACATGCCAGGAACAAAACATTTTTTTAACAGAATGAGAACTATGTGGGTTCATAAAGTAGAATTATGTGGGTTCATAAAGTGGAATTAATTGAGAACATAAGCACTATCAAACGCAATTAGATACCACGTACTTCATTACGTGTCAATACCGTTTCGCTGTCGAGCAATTCGTTGAACGTGTAGCGTGCGAACAGGCAAATAGTAAATTAAATAACAATTTTTATGAGAACCGTTCGTAATCCAATTATTGTTAGTAAAACGAATCAGTACAATCAATTTCATAAATTTATTGACATTTTACTTTATTACAGTCGCCATAAAATATTTATTGATTTTCAACAATTCTTTGTTTTAATGATATCATTTCGAACAAAGATCATTTAAATGTTTTCCTTTCGAACAAAGTAACAATAAACAAGATGGCTTTCTTTTTTATATGTTCTGCCAACCGCAATAATGGAGAAAGCATTACTTTGCACGACCGCCAGTGAGACATGCTGCAAGAGCCACTCCGTTTCGCAAGGCTCGTCCTCAAATCAAGATGTCATCACGCCAACCCTCCGAAGGAACACCATCGGAGAAGGTCCAATAACCCCAGAAGTCTCCACTGCCACAGGAGTAAAAAGAAATCTATCAGCATGAGAAGAATATTTAACTATTTTTTTTTTATATCCGCGACAGACTCCGGCTCAACCGCGGCCATGATCAAATTACCGGTCGAACATGTATCAGCACAGGTCGCATCCCAAATCAACGACTTCCCCATTGTAAAAGGGAAAATGGTAATGCCATCCGGCTGCTTTCCATCACCACGGTCGAGGCCTACGTTTTTCGTATAGAGAATTATTTAGAATTTCTTAATTGTTATGATTTCTTCGTCTTCTTTCAATTGAACCACTGTCCAAAATATCTATAGCTTTAATCATTTGTAAATCTTGCGGTACTTATCGTTGAAGAGTCATAACTATATATGGCTAAATAGACCATAAAAAAGTGACAAGACTGTAGCATAAATCGGCTTGCTTTGAAATTTTTTTTTCAACTTTCTGGCTTTTAAATAGAGCCAATCGCAGATACGCAACTAAGTCTGTTAAGCCAAATAGACCCTAGATATTAATGAGCATGGAAAAAATATTAACTATATGTTTTATTACAAAAATAACAGAAACCACTTTCAGCGAGTAACGCCTGTGTATTGAAGCGAATACCATCATTCTTCGAACGGTGTGGACTGACGATACAGCATACCAAACAAACATTTTCGCCAAATAACAGAAACCCCATTGCTTTAAGACTTTCAACAACAGCAAGAACTGAAACGGATTGCATGTGTAACTAGAAGAGAAAAGTATGGGTGGACGGACAGTTGCGTCCCGAAAAATTACAGACCAGACAATTTTGTTCCTGGACATCTGCGTCCTTAGACATCTGAGTCTCTTGTTAATTGCGTACTGCTGATAATTTTTTGAAGTTACCATTTTTTAAAGAGTTGTTTAATATAGAAATGTGCACACCAACACCTTTAATTACTCTAAACTTTCAAAAACGTAGTTACCATAAAAAAAGAAAGAAAAATTCATTTTTTTAAAGCAATAGATCACAAAGCTAATCTTTTCATTGCTTACCATAAATATCTTATACAGGGTGTCTCAAAATAATGTATACACTCTTTAAATATTAATAGTTAATAATATATTAGCCTGATGTGAGAACTTATATGGATGAAAATATGCAAAACAGATGGAATGGAAAAAGTGGGACAGTTGAATACCCACCTAGATCACCAGATTTCACACCCTGAGATTTCTTTTGGGGGGGGCGGAAACGAGAACGTTTGCAGCTGGAAACCTGAAACAATTGCAGAAATGAGAATAGCAATTGAAGAAGAATGTGCTCAAATACGAGAGGAAATGATACTGGACGTTTGTAGGTCTATTTCTTCAAGATATGAAAAGTGTATTGAACAGAATGGCTACCAGTTTGAGCGCTTCATGCGAATTCATCATTATATGAACATTCTGCCACTGACCCAGATAGCTTTTATCGTATTAAAGTTAATTTTCTATGTTTTTTTTTCTTTTTTTCTCAAATTTTTTAAATGTGTATTCTTTCTCTTGTATTAATCTTATAGTCAAAATACATAAATTGAATAAGTTATAACAATTCTAAGAGTGTACACATTATTTTGAGACATATATATTCTGGATTTTATAGCAGACGGAGAATATTTCCCCACAAGTTTGGACTCGGCCGTCGGGGGGAAAGGCATAAAAATATTCCTACATCAAGAAGAGTAGGAGGAGGAGCAGTAGCAGGTGGAGGAGCAGTAGCAGGAGTAGGTTTTGCTGAAATTGGTGATTAACGGCTAAACATTCTCTTACCTAGTTTCTATTCTACATTGTGTTTCCGTGTACCAAAAGGTAATAAACTTGTTAAACCAATTCCGGTTTTCTACTGTCGTTTGTAATAACTCAGTTACAACATGTATAGATGATATTCTTATTTGGAACCAATAACTAAGCTCCGAAAATAAAACACTGGTGGAAATATATTGGTGGAAAAGGTAAATTACAGCTACCGCTATCATAAGGAAAACACTGATGAAGCAAATGCATACTACTGATGTGTACAGCAATTTTGCAACATTGTTAATCTGATATCGCATTTTAAACAAAAATAAACTTTTATTTTTTTATTATTTTATTCCTTTTTTAAGACTTTATGGTTATTACCTATGCTTTCTTCAAAATTTATTGTAATTGCCTTTAAAAGCTTCAAAAGATTATCAGAGGTACGCAATTATCCAAGGACGCATTTGTCTAGGGACACAAATATCCACGGACGCAATTGTCTGATACGCAATTGTCCGGGATGCATATGTGCAGTACGTAACTGTCCTAGAAGCAAAAAAAAGGACATAATCTAGATGGTGGCTTCCCATACTACTTCAAACAAAAGGTTACAAAGCAAAACTCCATCAATACTGGAAGCAGCGATTACATATAGTGGTGTTGAGAAACCTATTTTTCTGAATTTTTGTAAGCAAAACATTTTGTAAAATTCAAGCGGAAATAGCATAGGCTTCTCGGTCAGTGAATGCCGAATGTTTCCTTTTTAAATCTGTAAATTTCTTTTAATTCCTCTTTTTGAAATTTTTTGAAATTTTTTTATACAATATTTCAAGATAAAATCAATGAATTCATAATAATATTCAATGATTCATAAAATCTGTGATTAAAAGTCCTTCTAACATTGCCATTAACATTATTATAAACATTCATAAAATAAACAGAACTTCTTATCGAATCACTAACTCACACCCATTCACTGTAGCATACAAAAACTTGCCTGAAGTGTTAAAGCTCGTTAAGTGTACATGAATCTTCAAGATTAGGCAAATTAGATGATACTCCATCATTTGTAATTTCCCATATGGTTACTTGGGGTCACCATTGGTGTCACAGCACTATTTCTGAAGGGTGGCTCTCCAGAGCTGTTCGGCGACGATTCATAAAATCCATGCGATTGGCGGAGGGAATCTTTAGGGATTCTGTAAAAAAAAAAAACAACAAATATTTTAATTAATTTAACTAAAAAAGAATACATACTTTAATTTTCCAGTCTCCTTATTTCTTCTCAAACAATATTCTTCAAAAGTCAAACTTAGGTTGGCCGCGCAGTTTTCAAAGAATCACTTTCCACAAACAATAATATATATTTTAAAACGTATGTTGCATTTGCTTGAAATAAGCTTTACCGTCACGTTTCTTTCGCCACATTTGACTTTTTATATCCTATAAATCCTTGTCTTTAAATCGATTTTTATAGCTTTCATATGTCTCTCAAATTTCTTGACATCATATATGCGTCCTTGACATTTACTAAATTCATTTCTCTCTGGTAAAAAAACAAAAAACAAGAATAAATCGATAGATACAGAAAACGAATGTTGTATTTCAAATGGCGATAGCTGGCCTGCCGGTCTTTAATTTCGTTTTCAAGATCCTAAATCTTTATTGATTAAATCATCTGGAATTCACCAACGGTTCTCCTATTTCTATGTGCTATATACCTTCAAGACGTTGGCGATCGTTGCTCTTCATAATTATCTGTTCTTTGTAGCTCTTAGTAAATGTTGCTTTCTTGTTATCCAGCCTAAAGCTTGCTCAGACATCCATTTACTGAACCTCGCTAGGTAGGTTATGCGTTGTTTTCTTCTGTTCTTCTTGCCTTCTATTTCTCTTGAGTGTGTCAGAATTTCCAAGCCCTCTTTTCTTATTATGTGCCTTAGAATATTCAATTCTCTCTTCCTGATAGTCAACATAAGTGTTATTTTGTTTCTAGTGTCGCTAAAATGCCACCGTTGCTCACTTGTACCGTATCTCTTCGTGTTGTGTTGTCCTTCCTCTTAATAGTCTATGTTAGACTCTACCGCCTACTATAAGTTTAGTAAGAGAGAAGGTTTGGGAATCAGTGAACAGTGATCTTCCTGATTGTAGCAGATCTCTTTTGGCGAGGTATACTTCTGTCGTATGCAATAGGCTACAATAAAGAAGATCTCAAAATTGATCGCTGCATTTAAGTTTTGTCTTAATATTTAAGCTTACCTTTTAAAAGTGCAACGATAATTATTTTGTCGCCACTTAATTTAAAGACAGTTTGATGCACGTAGGTCCTTATATTCTGTACAAAAATTATTTTTATTTCGTGGATGACTTTAGTTGGATTTCGGAATTAATTTTGATTATTCTCAAATTTATTTTTAAGGAATAAAAATTGTTATCATATAAAAATTTAATCGCAAAAAATCTCGTAAAATCATATTTAAAATATTTATGAGGTTAATCTGTATTTTTTAATGTGACTAAGGCGGTAAATGTGCGATCATGGAAATCAGTATTTTTTCCCAAAGAATTTTAGAAGGACGTTAAAGTTGAGATAGTGTGTTATTCTCTTTTTGATCTGCACTTGTTTTTTAACGCCTGTTCTCCTATATGCTGTGATACATTCCCCTATATCTCTGTGAATGCTGGACAATCTGCTCACAAATGACGAAGAGACTTCAAGCAATAAAAATGTATTTCTACAGAAGGATTCTGAGAATTCCGTGGGCTGAACTTGTGGGCAACGTCGATGATTTAATGGGAATAGAAACAAAAAAAAAAGGGACACATACAAAACATCAGAAAGAGACAGTTGACATATCTGGGGGTCACATGACGAGGTAAGATTGATTGGATGACCTTAAACCAACGGGACATATTGAATGACGCGGGAATGCATTGCATAACGTATCTTGGCTTGTGTAAATGGTTAGCAGAAGAGAGATTAGGAGATATAGCGAAAAGAAGAAATTTACTAAAAGCTACAAGAGACAGGAAATAGTGGAGAGCCATTATCATCCACGTCCTGAAGGCATAGGTCACATAGAAAAAGAAATACCGAAAAGAAAGTTGAAATAAAAATCTACGATGAAAAACTCATTGATGAAAATGGAATAATGACTAACAGGGATTAGCAGATATAGCAAAAAGACAAAAATTACTAAGGGCTATAAAAGACCGGAAATTGTGGAGAGCCATGCTCACCAACATCTTGAAGGTATATAGTACATAGAAGAAGAAAAATAACGAAAAAAGAGTTGAGATAAAAAAAAAAATAATGATGATGGATATAGTGGTCAGAAAAGACGGATTGACGGAGATTAGCTAAAAGATAAAATTTACAAAGAGCTACAAACGACGCGAAATAGTGGAGAGCCATGATCACACATTTCCTGAATGGCCAGGGCACATTGAAGAAAAATTATGGAGAGTTGAGATAAAAACAACAACGAGAAACATATTAGTCAGAAAGGAATAATTGTTGACAGGTATTTGCAGATATGGCAAAAAGACAAAATTTCTTAAGAACTGCAAAGGAGAGGAAATTGGGGAGAGCCATGCACCATCAAAGTTCTGAAGGGACACGGCCCATTGAAAAGGGATATTAACGAAACGAAAGTTGTGATTAAAAAATCAATATATTGGTTAGAAATAAATAATAACTGACAATAGTTCGTTTATTTATGAAATTTCTAGAGTATTTAATCTAAAGCGTCTTATGCGTCCGTCTTTCAAATGTAAATTATTTTCTCGACAACTGAGAATATCTGCTCTTCTTTGTTTGGACAACAGACAAAACAGGGAAAAATCAGAAAAAAGTTGTGGAATAATACTAATACTAATAAGAGAAATAATATCGCTAGAAATACTAATTACAAATAAAAACAAATTAAAAATTGCATAAAAACCAGTAAAGAAAGAAACGTTGTTGGCAACATCGCGCATCTGTTGTTAGCTGAACGCAGAACTGTGAACAGGAGAGATGGCGATTCCCATCACCGCCCGCAATGACTTTGATGTATCCTCCATGAGGATTTTGCTTTGTTAGTTCAACTTTTGAACATGCAATAAGCGCGCTTCCCTTTTGTATTTATCATCTTCCCCGTCGTTAGACACCCACCCACCCGACGACAACCACTACTCACCTTATACGTCCGGGCATATAAGACGTTAATATGCGTACGTATTTCTTTCTCTCATTGCGTATCCGTGTGAGTAATTCTGATTCTATCCTCAGTTCTATAATAGTCATACTTTAATCTATTGCATCAATTCCTTTGTGCAGTGTGAGAAAGTTACTCAGGTGACGTTTACATCAGGACAACTAACATGAACGATATTGTTTTAGCCTGGCTGGAGTTCGTATTGTTCATTAATAAAATAATTGTTCAATGATGGAAATAAACATTGATTTTTCAAATACGCGTGCAAATTCAGACAGATCAACAGAGTTCTGCATTTTTGGGCAAAGACTGTGACAGGCAGACAAAGAAACGATCTGATAGATAGATAGATAGATAGATAGATGAATAGATAGATAGATAGATAGATTCAAAAGGCAATGAATAGAAATTCTGGAGCAATGCTGGTATATATATATATATATATATATATATATATATATATATATATATATATATATATATATATATATATATATATATATATACATATATATACAGACACACACACACATTTATTTTCTCTTATTTAAAAAAAAAAAAAATTCTTTGGACTAATTTAAAAAATTACCAGTGTTGGCCTCAAACATTTTAAATGTTGTTATATTATATATATATATATATATATATATATATATATATATATATATATATATGTAGATAGATAGATAGATAGATAGATAGATAGATAGATAGATATGAACAAAATGAGGATAGATACATAGATAGATAGATATAGATAGATAGATAGATAGATAGATAGATAGATAGATAGATAGATATGAACAAAATGAGGATAGATAGATAGATAGATAGATAGATAGATAGATAGATAGATAGATAGATAGATATGGACAAAATGAGGATAGATAGATAGATAGATAGATAGATAGATAGATAGATAGATAGATATGAACAAAATGAGGATAGATAGATAGATAGATAGATAGATAGATAGATAGATAGATAGATAGATAGATAGATCCTCTCGTTCCCTATAAAACGTTGGACTGTTTTATCGCCGCACCTGTGGAGGTGATAATAGTAAGAGATTTATTGGAAATTTGTATTCACAAGCGATTCTCACCCTCATGTATAAACACTTTATAACAGTTCCACCCGGTTTGAATCCAGAGTTTCCTTCTCCTAGACCGGTTGGCATCCAGGGCTATAGGACTCAGTCTGTCCTGTTATTTTACACATAGCTGGAGGGATTCATAAACTTACCAAGTGTAAGTGATGTAATAAACTTGATCGGAACTCGAACACTCCGATTTCTCGATCGGAGCAACTAACCATTACTCCACTGTACTTCCATACATACATACATACTTCGATATATATGAAGAGAAAGTGATAGTAAGACACAAAAATAGACGTATATGAAGGTAGATAAATAGATAGAGAGATAATGAAGAGAAAAGCGATAGCATGATTAGGGAACTTGCAAATATGAGGAGACTGAGATAGATGGATGTACAGATAGATAGATAGATAGATAGATAGATAGATAGATAGATAGATATGAACAAAATGAGGATAGATAGATAGATAGATATGAACAAAATGAGGATAGATAGATAGATATGAAGAGAAAGCGATAGTATAATAGAAAAACAGACATATGAAGAAAATGAATTAGTTATATAGATAGATATGAACAAAATGAAGATATATATGTGTGCATATGTGTGTGTATGTGTTTGTTTATATATATATATATATATATATATATATATATATATATATATATATATATATATATATATATATATATATATTCGGTCACATTTATTATATTTTTATGTTCTAATTATTTCTTGAACTTATGTAAATCTTTGACTATTTCTCAATAAAAATAATTTTGGTTGATTACAGTTTTTAAAATTGCAAATGTGAAATGTTTGAAAACTATATTTCGATTGGTCGGTCTTTCATTATGTCTTTGTTTATTTTTAAATTTCTTCACATTCAAAATCGAAGAAATTCTCATCATTCAGTTTTCTAAGTAACTTAAATCCGATTATTTCTTCTTTTCTTGTATTTATGCATTTGACAGTAAGTAAAAACAACAACAAAAAAAAAAAACACGGTTGTAAATTTAGTTAACGAAGTCAAACCGGATGCTGAAAAGTAATTTGCTTATGAAGAGAATAAATATCAGCGTCGTAGTTATGACGCTTGTGAATAAAAAAGCATCAATGCTGCATGATTTGAAAAGTGTGTAAGGGAGATAACTGCATATCCTTTAAAATTATCTTAAAGCCGAGAAACTACATTACTGAGTATATTAAAAAATATATTTCCGAACACAGATCTGTCTTCTTTGTATCAATCCATATTTTTCAAATGAATGGCATAACTTTCAATATATTTCTACAATAGAAAAATCGTTCATATCAACAATTTTTGAATAATGTTTTCCGTTGTTAAATATGCAATGGTGCATAAAAACATACGAAACACGGAAGCTGCGGTGATCAAAGATGAAAGCAATTAGATCTAGCTTAGTCTGAGTGATTAGCTGCAGTATAATTCAGAGACTCGATCGTGATGTGTCTTATAGTGTAAAAGATTAAATAATATTCATACAATATTACTATAGTATCGTATGCAAATTAGATAGACAAGTATAAATAGAGAACAACTGGCGAACATGGCGGCTATGCCTAGCAAACCCACTTGATATTCAAGGCAAGGAGTACTGTACTACGACTACTACTACGCACAGAGATATGCAACTATTATAAAATCTAAATTCGATTAACCATGTACTTCATTTTTGTATATTTTAAAATTCTTAATTATCAAATAAACCAGCAACGAAATAAATAAATAAAAAAACCATAGAGACTTTAATGGTCGCTCATAAAAAAAACGTGACACCAAGCGAATTTCTATTCACCATATCGATTCGATAAGATCAAATTGGCAGTTGATCTAAAAAATAACTTACTTTCAGTTGTTAACTAAAACAAGGAATAGCTTGTTAATTTTGACCCCTCAAAAATGAACATATTTTCTATTAATCGCTGAGCGAATATTTTAAGGCCTTCCATCAGCATGCCTAATATCAACCTCCAGGAGAGCGACTCGTTGCGCCTTCTCGAGCTAACGTCTCCCGCTTCATTTCAGCGAAAAGTTTATATCGAATCAATTGGTAAGACAGAAAGTTGCTTTTTTGATCGTACTAGACAATATTTATCGCCCGGATCTATCTTACATATTTAAAAAAAAGTTTATCAATCCTTTGTGCTCTTGCTTAATATTTAGAGATCCTTGTTAAAATCCGAAGAACAATCTGCAATGTCATTGGTCCTGATTTGGCATCTCGGCTTCAGTCACTTTCCTATCGCCGTAATGTAGCTTCCTTTGTGATTTGTCTATAAATATTTTATGGTAATTGTTTTGATGATCTTTCGTCTATGGTACCTAGATTTCCTGAATTTAAGCGCAGAAACTAGATTGGCGGCAAATTCTCATCTTTTACACTTGAAATGGCTGCTATATGTAACCATAAGTTCTATGTTAACAGTTTCTTCTATTGCATGTCTCGCTTCTGTTCTGGCATTAATGCAATGCCAATCGTAATCTTCTGCATTTTTTTTTATTTCAGATCTTTTATTGTCATCGTTCCATAATAACGTGTTCCTTATATTATTTCATATTCAGTACCCTGCTACGGCTTTGTTACGTTGCTTGGGGAAACTACATCCTCTTTACTCAGATTATTTTCTCGAAAGCTTCATATCTGCTTATCCGAAATTAAACAAAACAATTCATAAAGAATTTTTTTTTAAATCTGATATTAAAACATATTCTTAATTAGATACTTCGTATCTAATTTTTATTATTAAAACACATTTTTAATTAGATACTTCGTATTTGAAAGTGATACTTGATGAGATGCTTTCAATTTAAAAGGGCCCACTGAATCAAACGCTGTTTTACCTTAAAATGGGTTACACGGGTTCGATCCCTTCCGTGGAACGGATTTATCGAATACGCTGACCGACATGCATAACACATGCTGTATAATAAATAAAAATGGGGTCTTTATTTAAGATACGAAGTATCCACGATAATAATAATAATAATAATAGTAATACAGGCATGCCCTCCAAAAATCATGAACTCTGAAATTTACTATATAATGAAAAAAAAAATTAACAAACATAAAATAAAAAAAAATTATATATTTTTCTGTATAAATTTATTACAAAAATTTAACTGACATATAAATTATTTTAACCCTTTTCTGTTCCAGTGTACCAAAGTTAGCAAATTTTCAACGCGAGGTGATTGTTCTCTTTACGAAAGAACATCCAAATTGTGGAGTTATTTAGTTGGAACACCACATCTAACATTTGTGGTTTTGTTATGTTTTAAGCCATTATATTCATGTCCTTTGTTTTTGTTTCAAATAAATGAAATAAAAATTCCCAAAAATTTCGTCAATAACGAGAGTTTAGGTTTGAATTCTAATATTTATGAAAGAATGTACAAGGTGCCCCACAAAAATGAGAGATTTCAGATTTAATGTAGTATGTGTAATAAAAGAGTAACTAACATATAAAAAAAACTAAATATATATCTTTTACTATAAGATTAGACTAAAAAAAAATTGACATATATTTTTTTTAACCATTTGTTGTTTGAAGATACCGCGTTTATCAAATTTTCAACGTGAAGTGATGGTTCTTTTACGAAGGAAAATGCAGCTTGGGGAATGAAAAATGCCAATAAATTTTGCAAGAGTTCTTTAGTTTGAACACATCTAAGGGCGGCGCCTGGGCATGTCGCAGTGGTGCAATGTTTCGTGAGTTTGGCTTGCTAGAACAGTTATGAACGAGTAGTGCGTTCGAACCTAACTTGCTTCCCTATACTTTCGGCTTTGTACCTCATCAGATCTGCGTCCAACATTTGTGTTTTCGTTCTGTTTTAAGCTACTAAATTGCTATCCTTTGCTTTTGTTTGAAGTAACTGTAACAGAAATGTTGTGACACTATTTAGGGTTGCGTGAAAAAAAAGGCGAGAATTAAATTAGGTGATAAGAATCTATCATGAAAAGACACTGAACAATGTTATTTTCTTCTAACAAGGAAAAGTGGTAAAGATTTTATTTTCATTAGCGAAGAAAGTAAGATACTTGATTTAATTTACGACGACGCACCAAATAAAAGACAGTCGCCTACCCATGGTGATAATGAAAATTTCAAATTGGTCGAGTGCCCTACGGGACAGAGTGCTAAGAGATAATATTAATTAAGCACGCACTGACCGAAAAACAAAATGTCCGTTGGACCACCCAAGTTACAAAGAAAGAAAGACTGACCCATTAGCTATCTGCGGAGATGTCGTTTGGAAAGAACTGGCCATGAGGAAAAAAAAAACTATTTTATCGGAAAAAGTTAATTAGCGACAGAATGCAAAGTCGCCAGATGACCACCCACTTGATGCTGGCGAAAATCTGATTGACGAACTCCAGGAGAGATTCGGTTAGCATAAGAGTCATTAGTGATTGTTGTCGGGAAGAAGAGAGAGAAAGAAAAGAAAAAGAAAAGGAAAGATTTTTTTTCTTTGAGCGATAATTAGCAAACACCCACGCCGCTGAGCGTCCATTGGCTGAATGGTGGCGTGAGCGGTAGGCAAAGGTAATCATGTGAAGAAGGAGGGGAGGCCTGTTGACGCCCACTGAAGGGATCGGTGCCAGATGCCTTCGTGAGAGAGAGTGGAAACATGTTGACGCCCCTGAAGAGATTGGTATGAGATACCAATATGAGAAAGGAAGAATTTGGGAGGACGGTTCCTTTAAACTAGAATTAAGATTTCCAAAAATTTCCGGACCGAAAACAAAGAAAACCCTTAATGCGGATTTAGAATTATCAAGGAACCTCAAACCGCGACAAGCCCACCCCGGTTTGGGTCGGCGTCCATATAAGTAGAGTCGCAGCAGTTGGAGTTGAGTTCGCAGTTGAGTTGAGTTCGCAGTTGGGATTTGAGGCATACATGCAAGCAGTTGCAGTTTGAGGTTGAGCTGAGAGCTCTGAAGACCCGCCTCGCAGAAAGCTGACTAAGATTCCACGTAATCACGACCTCAACTTCTATCCAAGAACAATTTATTTTTGAAGAACGACTTAGACTCACACCACCAAAACAAGTTTTACGAATATCGCCTGAAGATACACCAAAACCGGTTTCCTGAAAAACAATTTAAGATGTTAAGACTCGCTTAACAAACGCAAAGTGTCACGAATCCATATAAGCGGGTTGGGAGGAAGAATCAGTCCTGTATTCAGCAACCAGATATAAAATATTGTTATTCCTTTTTAACACATTTGAACTTTTCGAGTTATTACTTTATTTTCTTTTACATATACTTGTGCGGTATTGCCTTTGTTCGGACTCGACTTGCATTACGGCCCGGCGACTGATTGATTTACCTAAGATCAAATCACAACGTCTACCTAAGATCAAATCACAACGTGGGTAGGTTAGATTAGAAATCAAAACAGTTACTTCGGTAACCAAACGTTGGAGGCGAGTGGGGAACGACAAGGCTGATGCCGAATCTAACCAGATTCCCATCCGAATCAGCAAAAGGTTAGAACGTCACATTTGGTG